TGAGCATTTTAGCAAGAGTCCTCCCACTTGTAGTTTCTTTAGATGTACAGATTTTAGTAGGTTTATCCTATATTATATGTCTATATGAGTGAGTATATACTGTGTGCATCTTTCTGCTTCTGGGATAGCTCACTTAGGATGATCCTTTCCAATTCCCACCATTTACTTGCTAATTTCATGATTTTAATATTTGTTTTTATAGAGTAACACATTTATAATTATTTTTTAGCATACAAGGCCAGCACAATTGATATAATTGTTACACTGTAGTCACTCTTCCTAATATGAAATTTTAATGTAAGTGAAAATAGTTGCACACATAAAAACCTGAGTCCAACTTGAATAACCACACCAGCAATGATAGTGTGAAAGACAAATAGAGGAAGAACACAATTGTCTACAGTTTAATCAAAGCTTGCCGTGTCAAATCTATTTTTGTATACCTGTCGGCTTTGCCTTCGGTGTCTCTACAGTTTCAGATTTCCCTTATTTGTTTTTATTTACCTTATTCTTTAACCTGTAAGGCCCTTTTAGCTCCAGGATTATTTTCCTCTTAAGAAATGAGTTCAATTTTGAATTTGTTTTTGTTGGGAGAAAATGTAATTAAAAATTTTTGTGTTACTTATAGAGAATTTTCAATTACTAAAATTTAAAATCCCTGCATGAATTATTGAAATAACAGCTTTAAATGTTAGTTAAATACAATCTTATATTGACCCTTGGAGAGCTTCATGGTACAGCAATACCTCAGAACCAAATTGGCAGCCCTGACAACTCTTCCCTTAGATTTTATGGGCCTCCTGGTTTAGAGCAACCAAACAGAGCAAAATAAAACAACCCCTCCCCCAAATCCAGCTCATAGAGTTCACCTACCAGTGCTGTCCAGAGAATTCCTCTCTTGCAAAATTTGCCAGAGGCCATTAAGTTTGAGCAGACAGTCTAAAACTGAGGTGGTCTCTTTTTAGGCGAATCTTGGAAAATCTCAGATTTTTCTGTTCTTTCTATCTATCTATCTATCTATCTATCTATCTATCTATCTATCTATCTATCTATGTATTTATTGTCCTGGGCTATGTCTCTTTTTAATCAAATCAAATTCAGGAGACCTAAAATGATTTTTCAGGTAGGAAGTTCTGTTAGGATTTCCAGTGAGGTGTGTCCTCCAGCTTCAAGGATACAAGGACCCACGATGGAAATTGGACAAGTGTCTAACCCTGTATTCTTATCCTATGGGCCATCAGCGTTTACACTGTCATGCAATGGATGGCTTTAGAGCAATAAAAAAGGAGCTACAACATGGGATAGAGCTAATAAAATATTTTTGAACAATCCATACTGAGAATCCAGTTGAAATAAATACATACTGCATAACTGAATTTACATGCAGTTAAAAGAAATCAACCCTCAAAATACACTGTAATAGAGGTCAGAGCCACAGTGCTAAGAACATCTTCCAGGTGATCACATAATGGTTCTAAGAGGTGTGTACTTGTGTGGGAACTCACTGAGGTGAGTCTTAGATCTACATATTACGCGATACATTCCATGCATGCCCATATGAATGCTGAGAAGACATTTATTGCAGCTTAGAGCTCTTATCTCAGTTCTGTGTTCAGGAGCCAACATTTCTATCATGATGCTATGTGGACTCTTGGTCTTCTCTATGCTCCGTAAATCCCTTGCCAGCAAGGCTCTCTTGCTCATTTGTATTTCTCCATCACCTACACCAATGCTTTCCACAGAGAAATGATTCAAGAAATGTGTGAAATAATTACAAACGCCATTTATAATCCCAACCATGTGTGGTAGCCACCTTTACTTTCATATTCAGCATAAAATTAATAAATTGGAACACATTTGCATAACCCTCACCACTTGTCAAAATTTCAGATGGAAAAAATGTAACAAGTTCTCCCACCTGCACTGATTCAGGTTTAAGCCAAAATTTCTTAAGATTGAAGATCCTAGTTTACATACACGCTTCATAAATCTTCAAATCCCTGGCACCGTGATCCAAGATGCTTGTTCTCTAAATCTGGGGAGGGACCCATGTCTGTACTGTTAGACTCACTATCACTGCCAGCTTTTTGCCTTCCACTTGTAAGTGAAAATACGTAGTGTCTGTTTTTTGGTGCTTGATATATTCAACTCATTTAACATATGTCCAAGTTAATACTATCTTGACACAGCCTAGAATCACCTGAAAAAAAAAACAAAAACTAAGTTTCAGCTGAGTTTCTGTCTATCAGTTTTGACTATGGATATTTTTATGAGACATTCCTTGATTACCTTAATTGATGTAGAGTGACTACCGTTTGGTGATTCTAGGCCATCAACCATGGTTTTTGCTGTACTTCCTTGGCTAGGAATGAGATCTATGGCTATAAGTAAGGTTGTTTGGAATATGAAGCAATCCTTTCCTGAGTTCTTGCCTTCATTCTCTCAATGATCGACTGTGACTTGGAATTATAAGATGAAATAGAATCCTTTTCCTCTAAGTTGTAAAGAAAGGAAGCCTGAACAACATAATACCACCTACGCCCTTCAATGATGCTGTAAATGTCAGAATTCCATTGTTTTTAATAGACAAATAGTAGTCAATTCTACATACATAACAGATTTTTCTGACAATGCATATATGATTACAACTGTTGTCTTTCTCCCCCCCCCTCAGCTCTTATCTAGTACTTCATTCTGCATCTTTTTACTTCAAGAATTTGTTTCTGTGGTAGATAACAAAAAATGATCACAGTTTGATTAGTCTTGCATCAAAAAGTTTAATCAATTTCTCCACTCTTTAAATCTGGGCTGACTTCAGGGCTTGACTTAGCTCGCAGAGTGATATTGCTACGGCAGCATGTGGCTTGTAAGGTAGGCTACAGGGAACTTGCATATTTCATGCTGTTCTTTTACAGCCCTACCTCTACCAAGTTAATAACTCCTGCTTAGCCCACCAGAGGACAAAAGGCCACAGGGAATGGCAAGGTGTTGTGCCAGCTTAGTCATAATAGATTCAGAGCCAGGTGGTTACAAATAGTTGAACCAGTGGATTGCATTCAATGGGCCAGTTTAGTAAAATCCCAGGAAAGGCCAAACCACAATGATGGTCTGCTGAATCTTAAGTTAAATGGAGTTTTTTGTTTGTTTGTTTTTCTTATGATTGCTGTTTGGGCAGAATGATCTTTGAATCACTGCCTTTGGTACTTTGTGATAGTTAGAAGCATCTTTGGGTTTAATCACCTGATGCTTGCAGAACTGTCACCAATACGATGTGACAACTGAAAATGTCTTCAGACACTGAAATGGTGACCTTCCCTCCAATGGAAGATAAACAACTTCGAGTCATAGGAGTTTGTTTAAACTTCAAAGCTGTCTATACACGGGGTAAGGGAGTCTAATTGTGCAATCTCTTCTTTTACCTAGTTATATTCCTGGCATCTTAAGTTTTGTAACTTTTTCTGAAATAATATTGCTGCCAACTGTTTTTGCTAAGTTTCCCTCTTCCTGTGGCCACTTTAACCCATCCCACACACTTCCGTCAGTGGTTAAACAAATAAATACAAAAACACAAATCTGATCTTATGTACCCATCAGTGGTGTCTCCTTGCTTACTCTGCAAGACTTCAAACAGCCTGCCAAAGAGGTCTTTCCTCATCTGGCTTCCACCACAGCCTGTCAAGGAAGTTGGTGTGTGCCTCCATAAAACAGTTTGTGGACTCTAAAAGTTATAGGAATAGATCCGAACATAACATGACTCCTGTTTTCTTGGGCATTCAGTATACTGTTTGGCCTTAATTTATTTTTGTTTGAAAAACGCATTCTTATTTGGAAATCAGTACTTCTTCATGCTGTGCAAGATTAATAGAGCTATTAATAAACCACCTTGACCTTCCCTAGCTAAGGGATGGAAATTTGATTAAAGAGGCTAATCAGCATCTTCTCCAAAGTGCTCCTGCTTGAACTGAACGATACAAACCCTTAGGAACAGAACTTTGTCACCTTTAGGTGGCCAAGTTTCTCCTGTACTCTACTTGCTCCCTGATGCACTGCTTTCTGTTATTTTTGAGACTCGTGCAGGCTGCTCTGCCTGTGTCTGTGATCCTATATAGCTTTTTACTTATAGTATTTACAATGTTTTGTTACTTTCACACAATCCTAGTTGTTCTTTCCACCTAAATCATTATTCTCACTGTAACAAAATAAAACCACGAGTATAATAATAATAGCTAGCAATAGCTGACGTGCTTTTCGTGACAGGGGGAGCACTGGCTTAGCATCTGCTAGTTTTCTATCTAAATTAGTTCATGTTTCTCAGAAGTATGTTCTAAGTGTGAGTTTCATTCAGCTCTATTCCTGGCCCAAAGAAAAGATGCACAGTCACAATACCAATAACCTTGAGAAGCCAGCATCTGCACGTCTCTGTCCTGGCTCTGATGAGGCAAGGGCTCGGCATTTACTGTAGTCCTTGTTCCTTAGGTCAGTGCACATGGACCAAATCTGAGTATCAACACTCTGGATCTGTTACTTTCCTTTGACAACTTCGGACTAGTGAAAATTTTCATAAGTACTTGGAGAACTATGGGCCTTCATTCAGGATGATAAAGACCTTCTTCTGGTCAACTTTTAAAAAAACAGTTGATCCTTTTGAGAACAAAGAGTAATTTATTGATGATTTTAATAACCTGATCAGCCACTGTGAAGCTCTGTAATTACCATACTGATGGAAGCTCTTTGAAAGTTATTTTCCAATAATGTGTACTTGTAACTACCTCTTACATTTACTGTAAGATATGAACTCAATGTGTAGTTACTTCTTATCTGCTGTTAACTACATCACTATATTTTCCTAAGCCATCTATAAGACCTCATATGTAAATGAGAACTTGTTATATTGTGAATATATTCTATATATTCATATAAACATATTTCTATTATATTGTGATATATATTTATCATATTGTATATATGTGAATAAAATACAATACTTTTAAGTTTTAAAAAATTTCCCGAGCCATTGCACAGGACATCTGACAATTATACCGACTGTCAGCAGGAACCCACAATCTTGATGTATGTGATTGTCTATGGGTGCATTGTAACTAACAAATGCAATTAACACCAGCAACAGTCCCACAAAATTCACAATATTTTTTACCCTGATTCTGGCATTCTACTATATATATTTTTTTCTTTATTTTCCTGTGTGGTGGTTTCAATGAGAAATGTTCCCATAGGCTCAGATACTTGAACAATGGTCCTTGGTTGGTGATGTTTGAGGAGGTTATGGAACCTTTAAGAGTTAGAGCCTTCCTCTAAATATATCATTGAGGGTAGGTTTGAGAAGTTTTTGGCCTCCCTTCCAGTTTACACACACACACACACACACACACAGAACTCCTTAGGTGTTCTAGGTACTATCAAACTTTATCGTTTTATGCCAAAGGTGGGTCATTAGGTAGTTTAGAGATTGTTATGTTCAATGACATTTCAAGTTTATGCTCACATGCACACACACAGACAATATTAGACATTCTCTTCCTCTCACTATGAGATTTTATTAGATCTTCATAAGTTCCTGAGACTTGAGATGCTCCTTCACAGACTTGTTAGTTAGTGCTGCTGGTCTATGTTTCTCTGTCTGCTGACCTGGCACTTGGGTATACATCTAGCCTTATTGTGGTATGTGGGTTACATGACTGTTTCTAAAAAGTAACTCAACTCGTAAGGAGATACAGCATGAGCTATTTCCAGAACGATGATTTAACAGCTAATGTAAAATCTTCAGATTTCTATTTGGTTTGAAATTAATCTTTGAGATTATAGGTATTTCCTCAGGAAATAGTATGAAATGAACATAGCCCATGTTAATGTAAACTGAAAGAGAAACACATTTGGAAGCTTGTTTGGGTTTGTTGAGACAGCCTTATTTTGTAAACTAGATTGACAATAGTAGCATTCACTGACTACCCAGGCTGGCCTCAAACTCACAGACATACTTCTGGCTTGGCCTCTCAAGTGCTGAGCATACAGGTGTGAGACATCAAACCAAGCAACTTTCTTATTTAAATACAACAAGATATCGTCTTGATTGCAGATAAATATTTTATTTTTTCTTGTAACTTCCCTTTTCTGCTAAGCTATCCCCCTGGAATCTAGCTTTTCCTTCTATCATTTTTTTTTGTTGTTGTTAAACTTTTTGATTCTTTATGAGTTTCACGTCATGCACCCCAGTCCCACTTATCTCCCATCCCCCTCATATACACCTCTTACAACGTCCCCCCAAAGAAAACACACACACACAAACTACAACAATAACAAATCATGTAAAAACATCTCATCGTGGAAGCTGTAGTATGTCACAGTGTGTCCTACAGTATATTCCACAGTATGTCCACACGTCTTCACTTGAAAAATGTTCATTGCAATGAGTCATTGGTCTGTTTCGAGATCTCTGGCTTCTGTGACATCATCAATATTGGATCCCTGTCAGGACTCCTCCTGGTTATCCTCTTGTTACCCTGTATCATGGAGATTCTGCAGCTTTGGGTCAGCAGGACTGGCCCTTTCATGCATCCCAACCATTCACAGATGATATAGATTTTGGGGTGGGCCCATTCAGAGCTCATATATATGTATACATATATTAGCATTTAAAGTCTTTTCCCTTCACCCACCCAAAAATGTTTTTAATATCTAGGCCTGTTTTATATCTTCTGAAAACAGAAAAGGAGAAGATAAAATTTTATCCCAAGGTTTAGTGACTACTTTTCATCGTTCAGCCCTTATGTTTCTAAAGCAGCTCCTAAGCAATAGTTGTTATTTTGCCTTTGATGTCCAACATCCTCTTCCTGGAGAAGATAGAAGTAACACCGGGTCAGATTTGACCCTAACATTTTCTATCTGTAGCATAAATTGTGTCCTGAATTTTAACAAAATTCTTTTAGGACCTGTCCTTATGATAGCACATTGTGATTGCATTTATGACATTTGGAGTGCTACTGCCTGTACATTTTGAAATTCCAGACAAGGGTTTAAAGAAAGCCTCTTTCTTCTACATTTTTTTACATTTAACTTGAGCTGAGTGGCCGAACAGTGACCAATGAAAGCATGCAGCAGAAGAGAAGCAGGGTGGGTGTTGGGTCTGTGGTAGATAAATAAATAATCATATTAGAACAGTCTGTACCTTGTTGGTTTCATGGGCCACAAGGACAGTATTGAGGGTTTTGTGATTCTGAAAATTCAAGATGCAAAGATTTAAATTTTTCTTTTATTATTTCTGGGGAGAGACACATTTCTCTGAGACATGCTATTCTTTATGATTGTAGAGTAAAGAAAAGGAGAGGACATAGATACAGAGGAATAGTTTGTTTCTTTCTGATTGGTTGAAATGCTGGAAATACTGTACTGAAAAACCTTCCCAAGACTTCTGTACTGCACAGTAATGTCTGAATAGCCATGATATCCAGGATCTTGGGTGCTTCAATTCTGTCCTGAGTTTAGAATATACCTCAATCCAATCTCTGCGTACTTCATGGGATAAAAGGGGGATTCTTCCTTATCAAAAGATTTTTTGCTTTAATACTTTGAGAGAAAATTTCTCAACTACATTTCTCATTTCACACAAGATTTATAGCTTAGTATGTCCAGATGCTGAAGTGGACAGCAGTGTTTTGTACTGCATATATATATATATATATATATATATATATTCAGTACTATATATATATATTGCTTTTCATAAGATTTTGTTTTTTATTAACTGAAATTTTATACAGACATAAAAGAAGCAATAAATAAAACTACTTTGTTTAAATAGTTGACAATGCTTCTGAACCAAATTCCAAAGCCCCCTCTGTCTTGTGCTTTGACATCCTTTGATGGCATGCAGGCCTTTGCCAGACACAATAGGACACACTAGAAATAATAGCCAAGCCAGGCAGATCTTGACTTACATACTTTCTTCATTTTTTTTCTGCTTAAATAACCTTAGATGAACTGTATCTAAGCCCCATTTTTTTCCTTCTAAACAATTAACTTTAAAGAATAATATTCATATTTATTTCTTGAAATTTCAAGTGTACACAATGAATTTTGACTTTACCCACACTCCACTCTCTCCCCCTAGGTTTATTCAGTAGCCTCCAAGATGGCTCCCTCTATCTTCATGTTCTTTTTTCTTACAGAAAACAAAATCAATAACCTATTCATTCCAATTAATATGACTGTGTAGGTATAAGTGTGAGGCTATCAACAGAGGTAAAAGCAACCCACTAGCAGCCATACTCACAAAGAAAAATAACTCTCCCTCTTTCAACAGCTGTCAGTTGCTAATAGCTCCTCAGCTAGGCGTGGGGTTGGATTCTTATTAAATGAAGATAATTACTGTTATATTGCAAAGTTACTGTAAGATTAAATTGGGCAAACAGTGCAGAGCAGAAGCTAAGCCAAGAGTCTATTTTCTCCCCCATGAAGCTTAACCCAATACAACAGACAACATTTGAAGTTTTTTTTGTTCATTTCTTATTATTGCTCCAAAGTAAGCTCCGATTTTGTATATGATTATTTCTTGTTGATACTCATCGATTCAGTGAAGTAAAATATTAAATATCTTCTTATTTTATGTTAATCAAGTTCTCATTAATGGTAACATCTTTTGTTAAAATAATTATTGATGCAAGTAACTAATGTCTCAGCTTTCAGAGCTAACTGCTGGAATTTTGTTAGTTGCTAATTCATAAAAGGTTTTCAGTATATATTTCACAACTTTTCTAATGTATTTGGTATTTCTTTTGTTTAAATTTTTATTTTAGTTTGTGTGTTTTGCCTGCATGTTTTTATGTGTGCCATATGTGTTCCTAACACCTGAGGAGGCCAGAGGAGGGTGTTGGAGTCCCTGGAACTGGATGGTTCTGAACCACCTCGGAGGGTGCTCATAACAGTACTTGGATTTTATGGATGAGCAGGAAGTGGGACATCTCTCCAGACCCACACTTGGCATTCCTAATACATTTGATATTTGCTTAGAATCATTATTTTTAAAAATGCATATACCAGTTCCATGAGGCTTCAAGGTCATATATTATTATGCCAGTGTTCCCATTTTCTTTTAATGGCAAAATAATCACTAAAAATAAGAAATAATAGCTTAAAGTACTTTTTTTGTATACAACTTAGTCCAATAAGAAATAAGAGATGATATTCAGTAGTTGTTATTTTTGGTTTTCATCCATACTTTGGGCTAGTGTGTTATCTAAAAACTTGTGTAACATATTTCTCTTTGTCTTCTTCTTTGTCTTCTCTTTACCATGATTTAATATTTGGCTTAATTATGTCATTACGATATAGAAATACCTCCTGCCTGTTCCTTGTTTTCTAATAGGTTCACATTTTTAAAAGACTTATTTTTAATTATGGATATGTGTGCTGAGAATGAGAACTATGTGGTGGATCATGCATGCATGTGCTCGTTTTGTAGTCAAGACTGGCCTTGAACATATTCCTCTGACTCCATCAGCCAATCTTGGCTACAAAGCAAGTTCAGGTACAACCTGGGTTATATGAGTTCTCGTATCAAACAAAACAAGACAAGACAAGACAAAAGAAAATGGATTCAGTGATTAGATTTAGTGTTTCCTAGACTGTCCTGTGCAGTCAGAGGCTAAGAAGCTTCATCCTCCTAAAAGCAGGCACAGATCAAACAGTTCACTGAAAATAACTGAAACCTTTACTCTTTTCCAAATTGGTGTTTGCTTGCTCAAGATTCACTAAAGGAAGACTCTTTGATGTGCTGCCTTTGTAGTTTTCAGTCTAGGGGAAGCAGATATTGGGAGGAGACTTGGCTTGATATTGTTGGCTGTGGTGATTATAATGAGAAAAAAATTACCTCTTAAATGTGATATATGTGCAAAAGAGGTTAAAGACATGACCAGCTTGTAATATTTCAACAGAAAATGAAAAAAAAATGTAGCTTCCGGTTAAAATAAAGTTATGTGGTTAGTCATAAGTAAAATGAGTAATTGTTTGCAACTGAAACACAGTTTACATTCAGGATCTGTTATCTAAATCTAGATAGGAACTTGACATTTTAATTTAACTAACTGCTAGAAGAGTTTCCAGAACTTTTACTGAGTTC